TTCCAGATATAAACGATAACACTCCTTCTACCAAACCAGACCCCTTTGTATGGAACAGAGGAGGAAACACCATGTAGTCCCCTCAAAGCACTCTTTAATTTAAAATATTTTATTTTGCATCTATATTCCTATACTATGTAGATGATATCATCTATGAACTGGAACATCTTCCTCAATTTGATACAACATAAGAGAGACAGACTGAATTAAAAGATGTACAAAGATAAACCTGTGTTTGGGAATATAGGTATTTAGCTGCCAAATACTTGGCTTTTATAGGTCTATTTTGCTTTTACTTTACCCTGGGATGGTAGTGTCCCCTTGGCATAGCACCATGGTCTTGGAAAGTACCTTGTGGCGGGAAACAGAGAATCCCCTTTCCCATCCGTCCTTCCCATAACTCTAACATCTTATTCTAAAGTTTCCTTTTCTACCCTTCAATGACAGGTCTCCCTCTCTTCCTCTTTCACAGATGAGGCAAATCAAATAGGCTCGCTGGTATACAGAGCTACAGAGTTTTTAATATATTAATTCATTTATTGCAATGAAAAGACTATAATGATAGTTTTCATTTGTATAATTTTAATTCTTTCAAAATGATTTTTTTTTACATGCTGGCCTCTAATTTAGTCTCCTAAATTAGACAAGATCAGTACAAATGGTACAAATGAGGTCTGACGTGTATTGAATGTCTACCATGTGCCCGGCTCTTTGCTAAGTGGGGAACATTTATTATCCTTTAACCCTAGGAGGCATGTATTGACATCACATATAATTTTGCATATAATGAGAAGGTGTAGTTTGGAAATAACTTACCAGGCCTCTAGGGTGAGGAGTGAAGGCAGAGTCTGAACAGAGGGAGTCAGGCTCCAAACTTAAAATTTTCAAGAGCAAATGATAACAGACAGTTAGGTGGCGATGGATCTGGAAGAAGGAAATGCCCTTAAATCAAGGGAATTTAAGAATTTGGAAACTTTTGGTGCTAAGTTTGAAAGAACAAGGATGCCATCAAGATGTTTATTTTGAAATACCCAAGGGGCTATTTCTCTTTTTGAAACTGCACATATTTTCAACACAGATTCTGCTTGTTTTTGGTCTCTTCTTCGAAACCCTACCTACTTACTGCTTAGTGTGGATGCCCAGTGTGGTTCGTTGTACAGAAAAGCAAGAGACTAAGGGTAAAGAGAGATGGAAGATTTTGGCCTTTGACATAGGCTTTTGCTACTTACTTTTTCTCCTTCTCAATCTGGAAAATTGATATTTTTAACAGTCCAGTGCCTGACTTCCACCTTGGAAGATTACGCTTGCCTACTTGGGGAAAAAATGAGTTTTATGTGTCATTAGGACTTAAATTAAAATCTTGGTGCTGATATGTATTAGGTTAGGTGTGTGTTGGTGTGTACATGGGGGCTTGGCTAATATCCTCTGAACTTTTGTCCACATAGGTGAGCAGAGCTGATCCTGCTCTAAGGGGGTTTTGAGATGATTACAGACAAAGAACATATATTATCTGGTGGACAATAGATGCTGAGGGCCAGCAGCAGCAACTGAGAAGGAAGAAGTTTGCTGGGTTGTTAAGACCTCTTCTCTGGGGACTCCTCCAAGTGTGTGGGCGTGGGTGTGGCAGGGCAGAGGGTGAAGGTGTGAGATCTGTGCGAGATGATGTGAGGCTGGCATTCCCCTGGAGAGAGGGTGAGTGAGCTCAGTATGCTCAGAACACGTGGGGACCTCATATATGTTAAGCCTCAAAATTCATATGGGGGGGGTGAAGTTGTAGAGAGAATAAAGAGCACCAGGCAGCAGGGCCAGCACTGACGCTGGCAAAGGTGAGTTGGGTTCCCCAGACGTGCCTTGCCCATAATAAGGGCATTCACATAAGGAGATCTAGTGTGTATTTGGTGATCAAGGTGATTGCTCTTGTCCTCATTTCCCTCCCTCAAAGGGATCAGATTCACCAATCTTCAAAGCTTCTGGTGCCAGCCAAATTTTTTTTTTCTGACCCTCAGCAAGCCTGCCCTCCCCTCTCCCAAATGCTCCATCTCTGTACAAGTAATGTTGACTAGAGTCTTTGAATAGACTATATCAAATTACCCTTCCACCAAATAAAGAACGGGTAGGTTATTAATCGCCATGCTAGAGTGGCAATCAATAACCTGGCCCCAACCGCCAATTTGCAAACTTTGAATGCTAATTATTCTTCTTTTTGTAAGAAATAGCCAGGCAGAGTGGCAAGAACACTGCTCGGGGACAGAATGTTGCCTCTGACTCCCTTAGAAAAACATAGATGGAGATGATTCACTTAACTTTTCCAAGCCTCAGATGTGTTGCATATGAAGTGAGCACAGCTTGTCTCCTTCCAGGATCATGTTAATGTGTAAATATATATATATATATTGGAAGGTGCTATGTGAATCTAAGGTTTTGTTTTTCTTCAGTCAGTATGTTTTACTGAATAAAACATGCCCTTGTTGACAGTGGCAGTCTCCACTCATTACCAGAATCTTATCTGTAGTGCTTCTATTGTTCAGTGAAATCTTCGATGGCTGAAAGCTGCAAGGTCTATTTCTGGACAATTCTGGAAGAACAAACAAACAGCAAAGGGGTTGGTGAGGGAGGAGCAAGAATAAAAGAATCAGACTGTGAAATAATCCATGATAGACTTAAGGTACGCACAGGGGCCTTCCATTCTGATTGGCCTGAGTTCTAAGAATCCTATGGTTGGTAGAAGTAGCAGCTATTTTCCCCCAAACTCCTGAAGGTTTATTCTGAAAACAATGCTCTTTTCCATTCACAGCTGAATAAGGAAGTCACCTTTCTTCTACTTTGATGCTTTAGAAAAACATACAGAAATCACCTGTGAATTGGAAATAGGCAGTGGATTGTGATTTAGACTCCTCACCATACCCCAGCCTCCCCCCCCAGCAAGGCTGCCATTAGCCCCCCTTGTTTATTCCCCCACCTCCCTGGCAGCCAGAGGCACCAGCTTGAGTGGATTCCTTTAGGCTCCCTAAGTAACTGCCCCTTCCTGATGAAAGTCTTTGCTTACTCTTTTTCTTCTTTCCTCAGTGAGTTTCCCTGCCCTTTCCCTATTTGCCTGCATAATCCTAATCCCACCTGAGCCTTAGGGTCCAGTTTAAATCCCTTTATTCTGTGCAGTCTTCCTGCCCATGTCTCCCCTGCCACGAAGCAGAGCCCTCTTCCTCACATCTGTCATGGGAGCAGGGTGGTGGGGAGGGGCATCTTTATCACAGCCTAGTCTTGGGGACGTGACAGGTCATTTCTGAGGGCCAGAGCCTGCCCTGAGCCGCATTCCACTGTCCCTTCTGGACATGAGAAAATCAGGTGACAGTACTTCAGAGGATGGTTTCATGAGGGCTGTGGCCAGAGATGAAGCAGGACCCAGAATCACAAGGCTTTCGCTATCAAGACGGGCCCACGACAGGCCCACGACAGGCCCACTGAGCTGCTTTGCAAATGGGGACACTCCACCAAAACGAAGGTGGCTCCCCCTGAAAACTCTCTGGAAGAAAATGCTAGAATCCCCTTCTCCTTGGCTCTCATAAGGGAAAAGAGGGAAGACACTCAGACGCGAACACAGCAGTGTCCGTGTAGGTTCTGATCCAGGCATCAAAGTGAATTAGTTCATTCATTCTTGCCAGGACCTGATGAGGTTAATGCAGGTTAATGATAACCTCTTTCTGGAGATGCTTGGACCCAGAAGTGTTTTAGATTTTTGAGTTTTTCAAATTTTGGAATATTTGCATAGATTTTACCTGTTGAGCATCCCTAATCTGAAAATATGAAGTCTGATATGGTCTAATCAGAAACTTTTTGGGTATCATATTAGCATTCAAAAAAGTTTTGGATTTTGGAACATTTCAGATTTTGGATTTTCAGATTAGGGGTGCTCAACCTATAGTATTATCATTATTTCCACTTGGAGCTGAGGAAATAGATGCTTAGACAATAAATAGCTTGTCCCATGTCAATGAAAAAAAAATTGATTTGAACCAAGTTATAACTGAATCCAAAGCCTGTGGGTTGAGTTTTTTTTTTTTTTTTAAATCTACTCTAGACCAGTGGTTCTCAAGTATGGTCCCTAGAGTAGTAGTATCAACATCTCCTGAAAGTTTATTAGAAATATAAGTCCTTGGGCCTCACCCAAGTTCTATTGAATCAGAAATTCCTGGCACAGGGTCCGGCACTCTGGGATGTCTCCAGTCCTGCTGGTGATGCACACTCAAGTTTGAGTGCTGCTAATCTATACTAACTCTCCCCCAACAAGAGGTCCCCGGTAACTCGGCCTAGAAACCATGCTAACATAGGAACATGCCAAGACATGGTTACTGATTGACCCCTGACTGTGCCAAGCCCCTCCTGGTATTTCTGTGCCACCTGGCTCCTCCTCCAGGTACGCTTGGAACTTTAAGGATGCCTACAGGTTTGGAGGGTGGTGTGAAGGAATTTTTTAAAAGAAACAATTTCTCCAAGTCTTTCTTAATCTGGTTTGTCACCATCTGACCATTTATGTTTGATTTGCTCTGTGATTATGTTGACTGGCTGTCAGATTTTCACTGGTTACTGTGTCCTTGGTCATTTATTCCATCATATATTCAACAAATATTTATGGAGTGCCCTGTAAGTGACAGGCATGGTATGAAGTATTTGTGTTTGAAGAACAAGCTAGAGACAAACCTGCCAGCTGTCCCAGAACCTCCAGGGAGCAGACCACCACCAAGAAGTGGGAAAGGTGCTGCCTGATGTAGGCAAGGTTCTCTAGAGTTCTTAGGAGTTAGACTTCTTTTTTCCTGTCCCTGCCCAGGGTGCTGAGGGTATTCTCCAGCCTCTGTTCTGCCCAGTAAGAAGCCAGGCTCTGCCTATGAGCTCCCAGCCAGCCAGGCAAGAGAACAGGCAGTGAGTTTTGCTCATTTGCATTGCTTTTATTACGGCAAGAATAAAAGTAGATCACTTTCCACATTGTCCCCTGCTCTTGCCTACAGGGTGCTTGTCCTTGCTGGTGACGGTCCAACACACAGAGCGTTATGTCACTCTGTTTGCCTCTGTCGTCCTCAAATGTGACTATACAACCTCTGCCCAGCTCCAGGATGTGGTGGTGACATGGCGCTTCAAGTCCTTCTGCAAGGACCCCATCTTTGACTACTTCTCTGCCTGTAAGTGTCCTCCCCCTTCTTATTCTCTCCACTTCCCCAGCACCTCTGTGATGTTCTATGTCTGGGATCTAGAAATTATTTAGGATCCCAAATCCTCATAGTGAGAAGAAGCCACAAAGATGTAGTCCCTTCATTTCATAGATAAACTGTGCATAGGCTGACAAAATAACTTGTTCTAGGTCACATATAAGTTTATTTAAATTTTTTGTTTCACCTTGTTCTGAAAAGATTTAGGACAGCTCAGACATTAAGCAAAAGTAGAGCTAGTCCTGCTTCTTGGTCCACTCGTGGGTCAAGCCAGTCTGCTAAGCTGATGATGCCGACCTGTCTCCCATCACCCCAGGGCCTTAGAATGCAGATGAGAAAATTCCAACACCACTTAGGATGCAGGGCCTTAATGGTCATTTGTGAAGCCTCCTGCCCTTCCTCAGCCAGCCCTCCTGGCAAATGGCCATTCCTCAATGGTCTACACACTTGCAATGGTGAACAGCTTGGTTCCCCTGGCTGCCCCTTTGCAGTTGCCCCTCTCGGTACTACACAGCCCCTCCTTATGTTCAGCCAAGTCCCACCTCTCAGTAACAGTGGCCTCACTCATCAGCTCTGCTGCCTGGAATCAGAATCCAGAGCCCCATAGTCAACCTGAGACAATGAATCTTTTGGAAATGTTGAGAATAGAAGTCGATGCCCTGTTTGGAGGAAGGAAATGCACTTTCTGAGATGAGGCAGAAGGAGCAGGAGGCATCAGCTTGCCATTTTTAGCTCTGGGGTATTTGAGCAGAACCACAAAATCTGACTGTTTGAGCCACTTACCAAACCAAAGCCACTTATCACCCCCAAAGACTCCTCTCTAAATTGAGGCTATTTCCTGGGGTTACTTTTAAAATGCTTGGGTTAAGTGGGGAGGAAGGGGACTAGCATAGCAGGCACTGGCTACCAGAAGATTTAATAGCTCTCAAAGCTCCTAATGGAAGGGCAGGTGGAGGAACACCGGGAACAGAGACTGGGGAAACTCTGAAAATGAGACTAGGGAAGTTGGGCTGGGAGATGAAGGATACAGCCAGAACTTGAAAAATAATGACCTGTAAGGGGGCTGGAGGCTCCTTGCTGAAAGTGGGGTTCTGCTATCACCTGTGGTTGAGTAACATCACCTGAGAATTTACTGGGCATCAAACGCTCAGATCGTATTCCAGACCTGCAGAATCAGAACTTTCTGTGTGACTTGAGTGTGTCTTCTCTCCTCAGCATACCAAGCAGCTTTATCCCTGGGCCAGGACCCCTCCAATGACTGCAATGATAATCAGAGGGAAGTTCGCATCGTGGCCCAGAGACGTGGACAGAATGAGCCAGTGCTGGGGGTGGATTATAGGCAGCGCAAGATTACCATCCAAAACCGTGAGTGTGGGGGAGGTACAAAGAAACTGGGGGTGGAGGGAGGAGCAGACTTGGGTCTGGCAGGCTGAGTCAGCATGGGATTTCCCAGTTACTTCTGCTCCTGGGCTCCTTGTTCACTCTCATTGAGGAAAATGCCAGATTCTTAGAATGTGCTGCATGGACGAAGGTCACTTTCCTGGAACGTGTTGACTAGATGTTCAACAGCTTTGGCTAAAGGTTTGGATGAAATGAGTTTCCTTGCTTTCCTGAGATTCAGGGCTAAAGTGTGGATCCAGTTCTTTTGATCCTTTCCACAAATTATTCTCAGGGTCTACACAAACCCCAGGTCCTTGAGTTCCTCTCGGGTCATTCTTGTTGCCCATCCAATGAAAACAGGGACTTGCAAGTAGGTGGCCACTTCGAGACCACTGTCCTCCAGTGAGAGCCGAAAGAGCACGGGACTCAGATACAAAACCCTGGTGAGAATCTCACTGCTTCTGCTCATTAGCTCAGTGACCAGCGACAGGTCAGTTATTATCCCTGGCTTTTTCCTTCATTGGAGAGTTGGGCATAATGTAATGGCTTTGTCTCCCCACATGTGATGTATAGGAGCTGGGTCTACAGCAGTTTTATTCTCTGTGCCCGGTGCGGGGAGCATAGCCAGATACCGGCGTGGCTGCCAATTCTGCACTTGGAAGGCACATGAACTTGGGCAAGCCCCTTTAAAATTTTTAACCTCAATTTCTATATAATGGGACTTGCCATAGTACCTATCTCAGAGATTTCTGAGGACTACGTGAGATTTTGTGTAAGCATCACTTAATATACACTGATTGTACAGTGAACATCAGTTATTCATCAGTACATTTTGTATGAATGGGTGCGTTAGCTCCCCATGCTCCTAACCTATGATCCAGAATTGCTGCACGGTATTCAGAGCCAATTTCAATGAGTGTTATGTGCTGTAGTAATTTTTTTCCTGATTAACAAAAGGGAAAATATACCCCGCAGGCCACTCAAGATGCCCATAGCTATATCCTGAAGAATCAGTGAATATTCAATGACCACTCAAAGGTAGATCATTTAAAGGTCAGTTTGACCATTGCTTCCAACTTTCTCTATAATTCTGAAATCTTATCCTTTTACATTCAACCTCTGATTTGCTCAAACCAGCCCTTGAGTTCTTGGCTTTGGGGAACCTTTGTCCTTCTTTAGTCTCTAAGTGAATCCTCAAAGATTCAAGGTAGCTTTACTTTCTCCAGAGCCCCAGCAGAATTAGTTCTGATCCAACCCCAAGTTTAAATCCTCTTTCATTAGCAACCCCCCTTTATAGTTTCCAAAGGACACAAGTCCCCTTGGATGATCATCCTTACTCTTTTGTCATGTTCTAAGTCAGAGCAGTACCTTCGGCACCTCCACTTCCTCACGCTGCCTCTTCCTCATTCCTACAGGAAAGCAGTCTTTCCCCTGGGTTTTATTTCTGCATCTGGGCTCATTGAGACTTCCTGGAGCCTTTGCTTTCTGATACTTCCATGGCTGTGTTTGTATCATTTGAGATGCCCTTGTCAAATCAGTTCTTGGGTCATCTAAAATATTAACCTATCTGAATGTCCTTATTATACTGACATCCCTTAAAAAAAATCTCTTTATCACTCCAATAAAAAGATGGAGCATATTTACAATACTTATCAAGCTTAAGGGGGGGCTTTCTCTTAAAGCACTTTCACTGTTCTTCCAAGTCTAGGGTGAGCTTGTTTATGGGAAAGGCAGTGGGTTTGGAAAATTGTGGGTAGGAAAAACATCATAGGCACTGACGTAAAAGAGAAGGAAACAGAAGTCAAAGTTTGCTCCAGTGTTGCATGACCTTGTGTTTTTGTTTCATTTCCTCAATAAATATCTCTTGACAAACAGACAATAAAGAATTGCAGATATGACCACCAACTAGGCCAGGGCAAATCTACAATGCTAAGTTCTTTGAGACTAGCCAATGTCCTTTTGACGGAGGGGGTAGCAGCAGGTACTGCCATCATTCAGGAATGTGGAGCTGCTCTGCTACCTCTGACTGGCTTTTAAACCCTTCCAGGACAGAGAAGTCCTTGTTCCTCTTCAGATCTTCCACAGTGCCTGACGTGGTGTTGGGCCCAGGAAAGGTCTTTAGTGAATATTTGTCCAATTTGCTGAACTTCAATGTGTATGTTAATACTTATTGTCACGGGGGTGGGCAGAGTATTCAGTGCTCATGAGAACTTCAATTCTTTTCTTGGGTAACTGACTCTTAAAACATTGGCATTTCATTCATACTACTTCAAGTTCATCTCATAATCAGTCCTTTCAAGATCCAGAGATACTTGCTCATCTCTAATGAGGGGTCCAGGCCAGAGAGTTTTTTATCTGGTTTGGAGAGGCCAGTAGAACTATGTTTGGGAGCACTAGATTTGAGGGCGGAGAGACATGGGTTTGAACCCATCTCTGCTAAGCACCTTCTGCACATTATTTGGCCAACTCCCTGACCTATTTATGTTTCATTTTCTCATCTTAAAATGCAGTGAAATTCCTACACATCAGGTAGGATTAGATTGAAAGTAAGCAAAAGCCCAAAATATTAGTGACTTAAGGAATGAAGAAGTTTGTTTCTCTCTGATGTACAAAATCAGAAGTATATAGCCCAGGCCTAATGTGGTCTTGTTCCATTAAGTCCTCAGGGACACAACTTCCTTCCGGCTCAGCAAGAAGGTCATCTTCTTCCTCCTAGCCCAAGATGGAGCTGTAAACATTTGTTCTTCAGATGTATTAGTCCATTTATCTATTGCTATAAAAAATGCTAAAGCTGGGTAATTTGTAAAGAAAATAGTTTTATTTATTTAACTCCTCATTTTGGAGGCTGAAAGTTCAGGATCAAGATCGATGGTTCTGTCAGTTTGGTCTTGGCAAAGGCCGCCTTGGCTGGATGGAGGATGACCTCATGGTAGGAGTGTGTGTTAGAGGCAGAGATCACATGGTAAAATAGGAAACCAGAAAGCCAAGCGAGCCAGGCTTGCTCTTTTATAACAGTCCACTGTCTTGGGAACTAACTGAGGTCCTACAAAAACAATGTTAATCTCCTTTCAGATTAACATTGCAATAAGCTCACCTCTTATAGGTTCCACTATCTTCCAACATCGCTACACAGAGGACCATGCTTCCAACATAGGAAACTTGGGGGACACCCTCAAACTCTATCCAAACCATAGCACCAGATAACAGAGTAGAGAGGAAAAGATAAATGGGAAAAGGGGGGAAAAAGTGTTCTCAAGCTGTTTGAAGCCATTATGTGACACTTCTGATTGCATTTTATTGGCCATAACTGAATCACTTCTGCACGTCCATCTGTAAGAAAGAATGGAAAACACTTACCTTATTTTGGATACCCCCTATTTTGTGCTGCTATTATCAGAACACCTGAAACTGATTAATCTATAATAAGTAGAAATGTGTTGGTTTACAGTTCTGAAGGCTGAGAAATCTGGTGATGGTCTTATTGCTGTATCATCACACAGCAGAAGGTGAGAGCGTGAGAGGGTCCCAGACTTACCCCTTTGTAATCCCACCCATGAGGGTGGAGCCCTCGTGGCCCAGTCACTTTTTAAAGGCCCTACCTCTTAATACTGTTTTACAAGGCAATTGAGTTGTGGCATGAGTTCTGAAGGGCCAGACACTCAAATCACAGCAGCTGCACATATGGCCAAAAATTCAATTCTCTGAAGGGAAGCATATATGCTGGGAGTCAAGGTGTAATTTCTGCCTCACCCACTTACAGGGTCTCAGTGAGAATTGAGTGAGGCCATGTATGCAGAATCCTTGTGACGTGCCTCGTGGTAGGCTCAGGGGTAATAAACTCCACCATCATTATACTGTTTGGAGAAGGAGGAAGGTCTCAGAGGAAGGAACTGATACCCATTTACCAGGGCTCCTGAGGATGTGGAAGGATAATGCTGGGGTCTTGAAGCTACCGTGGGTCTGAAACCAGTGCCTGTTTACTGGCACTTTCTCCTTCTTTCCCATGTAGGAGCTGATCTTGTGATTAACGAAGTGATGTGGTGGGATCATGGAGTGTATTATTGCACCATTGAGGCCCCAGGGGACACATCAGGAGACCCTGATAAGGAGGTGAAGCTCATCGTCCTTCGTAAGTGCTGCTAGAATTTTCTGCTTGACTAACCCACCACTGTGACACTTTTACCCAGGGGAAAACAACAACAACAACAAAAACAGAAATGAACCTGTTATTGTCATTGGATTATGAACCTCTGAAGTTCCCTTATCAAAGCTAAACCTAGGGGCTAGGGCTGTAGCTCAGTGGCAAAGCGCTTGCCTAGCATGTGGGAGGCACTGGTTCAATCCTCAGCACCATATAAAGAATAAATTCATAAGTGAAATAAACCTATGTTTCCAGCATAGTGCTCCACTTTACCATGTGGGTCAAGAGCTGTGTTTGCTTAGACCTCTAGAGTGTTAGAACAGGTGGCATTCTGCTGAATATCCAGTACACTGCTGCTCGTCTTCTCCCCTGCAGACTGGCTGACAGTGATCTTCATCATTCTGGGAGCACTGGTCCTCTTCATGCTGATTGGAGTGTGCTGGTGCCAGTGCTGTCCTCAGTATTGCTGCTGCTACATCCGTTGTCCCTGCTGTCCTACCCGTTGCTGCTGTCCTGAGGAAGGTGAGAGGGGACAGACCAGCAGTGAGATGGGGGTGGGATGCTCAGCACTCCAAGTAGATGGGCTTCCCATGCCAAGGTCAAGGCCCTGGGATCTTCCTGTTCCCCTCTCTGCATTCTCCCATCACAGGCCCAGAGGACATGAGCCTCAGCCTTGTAAATGATGCTTAGGGAAGCTGTAGAGCCTTGCAGAAGGTGGCTGATAAGGGGATTTCTGCCTGTCCACCTCTTACTCTGCCTAAAGCCCCTTTCATATACCTCTGTGTACCGGTGGCATTTCCTCAGTGTCCCTGATTATCCTGTGCTACAGGCTTTGCTCCCAGAACTGACCTTGCTTGGGCATGAGGAATCTAGAGGCAGCGGTGTGAGAGAAGGCTACCTGTAAAGGAAAAAACAAAAACCACTTAGCACACTTCTGATGCCAGATGTGGAACGTGGTTCCTTCCCCCCATACCACGCAGTTCTCCAGCAGACACCAATTTAACTCCCTTCTGACTCTGTCTCCCTGGAGGTAGCAAATATCCCCAGGTTAAGAGTTCAGTCCTACAACTGCTCCCCAGGTCTGATGGCACTTGCAAGTAATAGGATGTCACCTATTCTTCTGACCAGCTGACTATAAATTGGGATTTCCCCCACCCACCTCCTTGGGCTCTATTCATTTGCTAGAGTGGCTTGCATAACCCAGGGAAACACTTCATTTACATTTACCCATTTATTACAAAGCATATTTAATGAACAGCCAAAGAAAATGAACAACGAAAGAAAGAGACACATAGCGCAAGGATTGTGGAAGGGGACATGGAGCTTCCTTACTGTTTCCAGGTGCACGAAGTGTATTCTAAACAATTCAGTTTACCCAGCAGCTTCCTGGACCCAGTCCTTGGGGGTTTTTAATGGAGGCTTTATTATAGATGCTTGATTGGTTAAATCACTGGCCACTGTGATCAACTCAACATTCAGCTCTTCTCCCCTCCCAGGAGGCTGGGAGTTGGATAGAGCTGAAAGTTCAACCCTCTGATCATGCATTGGTCTGAAGCTATCAAGAGGCCCCTGGCCACCAGTCATCTCACTGACATACAGAAAACTCACTACTCTGGAAGTTCCAAGGATTTTAGGAGCTTATGTCAGAAACCAGAGGCAGAGTTCAAATATGTATTTCTTATTCTATTATAGTTTCATGGTGCTCCTTCAAGATGATTGAAATAACAGGAGAAAGGTCTTAAGAGCAGTGATTCTCAAACAAGCTCACGTTAGAATGGAGTGGAGGTTTCTTCACAGTGAACTGCTGGCCCCACCCCCAGAGTTTCTGACCCAGTGGATCTGGAGTAAGGCTCAAGAATTTGTATTTCTCAAAAGTTCCCGGGTGATATAAGGCTGCTGATCTGGGAGTTATTTCTTTCCCTCCATGTGTTAGGGGCAGGGAAGAGGGAGCAAAATATCTTGTTCTTACTTTGGTCTTTCTTAGGACTAAAATTTGATTCTTTAAAACAACTACAACATGCCCTCAAAAATTTGGCTGCAGAATACTTGGTAAAGGTGAAAGAATAAAAAGTTATAATGTGAAGATCTTTTCTTAGTGAATGGAAAGGAGTAGAATCAACTGCTTTAAATGAAAAGAATTATTTGAAAATGATATTTCCTATTCCTGATCATGTAAATAAAGTACCACATTGTGGAGTATTTGGAAAATTCAGGAAAATGTAGACTAATCTGAGCACCCAGAGATAGCCACTTTTATCATTTTAGTTCATTTGAAAGTAAAGGCTTTAAAGGCAAATACAGAATTGCCCAGTAAGATAGAAACAAAACCTAACCTGCAAGGTCAAAAAGGTCATTGGTCATTGTTTCAGGCCTGTGCTCCAAAGTTACTGTCTTACAGGAAAAGAGAACTAACTTTTGTTGGGCGACTATAATGCATATGTCCTTTGTATATATTTCCTCCCAACAACCCTAGAAGTCAGATGTCATCACTGTTTAACAGATGAGGGGACTGAAAGTCGGAGAATTCTCACAGCTAGCAAGTAGCAGTGGCAGTGCAGTGTTCAATCCATGTGCATCTGTCTGTGAGTGTCTGTGTGTCCCACAACAAGGGCTGCCTCTGCCTCTGTGGGTATGTCACCCTGGGACGGACTGAGACAACATGAACTCCTTAAAGAGGAGCTTCAGGGAGAGAGCCCATGGAGAAGTCACAGTTGCTGCATAGTTTTATGTGAGATGGGAGGAGAAAAGCTCTCAGGTTGCCTTCCTAGAATCCCTAAGCCTGTGGAGCATTAAAAATGGGCAGAACTAGGGACAAACCGAGCACAGATGATAAATGCATCCAACCAGTGAACTGATTAAACAGAGGTTCCGGCAGAGAATAGTTTCTCTAAGTGGTTGGAGTTCATTGAAAAGGACTGGTCAAAGGAAGAAGTGCAGGCCACAAATAAAGATCCCTGGGCTTGAGCGGATGAGGTCACTTCCAGAGTACGTCACTAGGGCACACTGTCCTGAGAACTTTGGTGACAAGAGGAGAATTGCGTGGAGGGGAAGGAATTATTCACGAAGGCTCTCTGATGGGGGAAGCGGGTATAGACTAAGGTCACTCTAAGCATGTTTGTAAGTAAAGAACCAAGACCAACCACAAGGAAGGGAGAGATCACTGAGGGTGATGGCGCTAGGGTGGCAGGGGTGGGGGCGGGGAGTGGTGGCAGGCCTATAGGGAAAGAACTCGCCTTAGAAAGGGAAGGGAGGGAGGCATCCTGACCTCTGAAGAGGCAGAGGAAGTCATTAAATGTGGAGGCTGACTCGGGTACGAGGGAGGAAGCTGACCCAGCTCGTGTCAGCCTGTCTTGATTTCCCCAAGTCAAAGCACTACACACAGAAGGGACTCCGGGAAGGATGCCCGTGGTGTCCTGGAACTTCTCTAACCACAGCCTGGCTTCCCAAAATGTGAGCCACCTTCCTGTAAGAGGTAAAAGTAGAGAGGAGAACAATGAAAGTGACACCCAATTTTAATAGCCTATGATTATCCACTGAGCACGGTAAACAACCCTCAGTAGGACTCACAGATGAAAGTTCTTGAAATGGAGTCTTTTTTTTTTTTTTCCATGAGAACTGGAGAAACAGCTTCTCAGTCCCTAGGTCGGTTACTGGCTCTGTTCCGCAGAGAACCTCCAGGCACACCCCAGCGCAGGGCTAGTTCCTTGTCCTCAACAGCCATGATGTCACCAGCTGAAAGTTCATGGGGGAGGGAAGCCCTGAGAAGTGGAGGATGTTGAGGGTGCTGCTGGAGAGGAGGGAGTGCGTGCGTGGTGGACAGATAACCTAGGAAAACCCAGTTGGGGGGAGGGCCATCTGAAGCAGTGGCCCGATTGGGTACAAGGAGCATGGCTGGTGGTTCCCCAAGGCTAAAATGACAAGAGTTCAGGGGGCCTAGGGATTCCAGGAAGCTCTTGAGAATGTCGCTGAGAAGACTGGCTGGTCAAAGTAGGGGAGACCGGTAGTTTGGGAAAAAAAAAAAAAAGGACTGAGTCCCCATGATTAAAAGGAAGACAAAGAAAGGGGATGGTAAGGACTGGTAACCAGTTTACGGGGAAAGTGAAGTTAGGGGTCTCAAGGGCACGAGTTTACATGGTGATGCCTACAGAGGACACCTGCTGGAGGGGAGGGAACGTGCTGGTCTCTGTAGGAGGGTGAGGTGTTGAGCGTCACTTCTGCTACACAGGGGATGTCTTAAAGAATGTGCCCTGAGCCTGGCGTGGTGGTTCAGGCTGTCATTCCAGCTCCATGGGAGACTGAGGCAGGAGGATTGCAAGTTCAAGGCCAGCCTGGGCGATTTAGCAACAAGACTCTGTCTTAAAATAAAAAAGGACTGGGGATGTAGCTCAATGGCAGAATGCCCTGGGTTTATTCCCCAGTACTGAGAACTGAGATTTTTAAAAGATAGGAAGAGGGAAAAAAAAGGGAAAAGAGTACAACTTAGCTTTTCCTCAGAGATAAAGATTAATATGCCTTTGGTGGTTTAGTCTCCTGTGAGTTCTATGGCAAAAGAAGCAGTTTATCGCCAGGTGTGGAGGCGCACACCTGTAATCCCAGCAGCTCAGGAGGCTGAGGCAGGAGGATCATGAGTCCAAAGCCAGCCTCAGAAAAAAACAAGGCGCTAAGCAACTCAGAGAGACCCTGTCTCTAAATAAAATACAAAACAGGGCTGGGGATGTGGTTCAGGGGTCGAGTGCTCCTGAGTTCAATCCCCAGCACCTCCCCCTCAAAAGAAGCAGTTTATTATAACAATTTATTATAACAATGAGAGCCCCTGTCTATTGACCATCTGTCTTCTGTGTTATGCATTTGATGTGTATTGCCTCATTTAACCTCAACAACCTTGTGAACGATTATCACCTCCAGCTCACAGATGAAGAGAGTGAGCACAGAGACTGGAAATTCACTCAAAGTCCCACAGTTAGTACATGCTCAGAGGCAAATTGAAGTCCATGAGACCCTCAAAGGCTATATTTAAGGAAACCTATCCCTGAGGGTCCTTCTCTCCAAGTGTAGTTGAGGCTCCTTAGCAGTCACCTCTAAGGTGACTCCCAGCGTGTGTTTGTTGAAAACACATGCTTTCTTGCCTTCTGTTAGACTAACTGAAGGAAAGTCTCCAGGAGTGGGACCCAAGGAAGTTGCCAAATTCGGGAACATCTGAAAGAAGCCAGGATTCAGTTAAAGCAGTGGCGGTAGGCAGGGCTGTTCCCAAGGGAATCAATCAGATGTCCCCAGGCCTTAGGGGCAGAAGCTAGTTGAACTACGTCTTTAAAGTTGTGGAGTTGAGTTAGAGAGTTGTAAACTGAAGAGGTTCTCCTGGGGAAGGTTTATTGGTTTCATCACAGAAAATAAAAGAGCCTAGGGACACTGTGGTGCAGCAATAAATAGGCTTGAGCATCCGAGAGTCACAGGTTCACACCCTGATTCTGCTGGTCACTGTGGGACCTTGGACTGGGAAGGCCTCCTCTCCCAGCCCAACTTCCTTGTCTGAGTCCCACATTAAGAGATTTCTCAGAGGATTAGCTAGTTTATGTAAAATGGCCAGGTGTGGTGAGCAAAAAGCATTGTGCTTGTCCATGGTGGCCAGTAGAGGGAGCCAGGGGGAAGGCACCTGTTAGCAAGAGGCAAAGTGCTTATTTTGTGGACTTCTCCTCTGCCAGGGTGGAGGGCTGTCAGTTGGCATAAAGGCGTGGCAGCTGAATGAGCTACTTAAAGTTTGCATCCTATTTCCTTCAGGCTGGGCCGTGACTCACCATCAGGGCTGGAGCTGCAGACACTTGTGGGGGCTCTGCTGCCACCACTTCCTGTTGTGTTGGAAGTTTGCTTCTCACTGGAGCCTCCAGGTGGCCCTCCAGATGGCCCCTTGGCCACTGGCCTCAGCAGACCTCCTACTCTGTGTAGCGGGGGTCTAGAGTGCCTGCCTTCTGCTCCCTCCTGCTGTTCTGTGAGGAAGGCTCAGGCAGAGCCGTGCTATTCTCAGGGTGGTCCCAAGGTCTGGTGAATTGAGCGGGCGTTGAGAGTACCAGGCTACGGGATCTGTCATGGTTCAGAGGCCAAGTATAACATGCAAGTATGTGTTCATGCGTGAATAGGCAGAGACTTTAGGAGTCATGCAGTGCTCAGCTACACTACCTCAAAATAGAGATTTGTGAACAAAACAAACAAATACTTTTATTTTTAACTTGTACTCATTGTAGGTTGTGTGCTTCAGACCAGCTGCATGTGGAGTGACTTTTCTATGGACCCCTTGTGCTGCTTTTTTGCACTCTTTTCTTTGCCCTGAAAAGGAGTGGTATTTCCCTTCCCCCTTCCTAACCCCACTCTATCCCTTAGAGATTTCCTCTAATTAGGGGAAACCCCAATACTTCATAAAGTGCGGAGAAGAGTAGAAAAGAATTGCTGGAATCTACTTCAGTTTTTGCATGCTAGGGCCTTTCTCCCATGGCGCTCACCCATGGCACCCTCTTGCAGAAACACCTCTGGGCTTCATGCCCTTCCCTTTGCTCCCATCAATGGACAGCCCTAAGCTTGCCTAGCTGGCAGACCTAAGGAGCCCCTAAGCCCTGACTTACAGCTTCCTCTAAGACCTTTGCATCTGTACCTTTTATTTCTGGCCTGTGGCTTCTGGTTTTGCTGCCTGTGATCTGAGATGTGATTGTGAGCTAGTATCTGTGTATATATCTATGCACTTCAGGTGGTCTGGGAGTGGGCAGGATGAGGAAGTATTTTTGAGGCTAGGAAGTTGAGTTTGAAGAGTACACTTTCCTGGGGTGCAGAGGTTATAGTCTTGTCTACAGGAAATTTATTCCCGGCTCCTTGCCAGAAACATGGGTGACTTGCTACGCCCTTAACTCTTACTCCCATGCAAGATGGTGAGAATGGACACTGGAGGAGAGAACCTGGCCTCGTGGCAAGACTATTAGGTGGACAGAAGTGAAGTGGTAGGTGTGGGGCCTTCCCTGGCTGAGGGTCTGCATTTCTCCTTCTTCCCCTGCAGCCCTGGCCCGCCACCGCTACATGAAGCAGGCTCAGGTCCTAGGTCCTCAGATGTTGGAAAAACCCCTGTACTGGGGGGCGGACAGGAGCTCCCAGGTTTCATCTTATGCAATGAACCCGCTGCTGCAGCGAGGTAAACCTTGCCAGAGTGTTGGGAGGGGGAGGACAGAGGGTAAGGGTAGGACCATGGGTGCATCTGGGCCTCCATGACCAACATGGGAGGTGTGTATGATTGAGGATGGGAAGGAGTGGAATCAAGCTAAATAATGTGACTTTTGATATCCTGATTTCAAGGTGTTTATTTTGAGCCAGTAGTTCTGCATGTTCTGTCCTTGTTTCCATTCAGATTTGTCCTTACGGTCCAGCCTCCCACAGATGCCAATGACCCAGACCACCACTCACCCTCCTATCACCAATGGTGTCCTGGAATATTTGGAAAAAGAGCTGCGGAACCTCAACCCAGCCCAACCTCTGCCCACTAACCTCAAAGCCAGGTCTGGCCATCCCTGCAGCATGCTGTCCTCCCTGGGTTCTGAGGTTGTGGAACGCAGGATCATCCACCTGCCCCCACTGATCAGAGACCCATCCTCCTTGGGGAGGACCAGCGATTCTTCACATCAGCTGTGGCACACCCCAATTTCCTCCAGACCCTGGGATCTGAGGGAGGGGAGAAGGCAGCACCATTACTCTGATTTCCACCAGGAGCTCCAGGACTGGGGTCCAAAACCCTGGGCACTGGGGAGAAGAGAGCTGGACCACCCAGGGAGTGGAAGGCGCCACCATTCCAGGCGGAATGGGTCACCCACGCCGCCCTGGTCAGACAGGGACAGCCTGAGCGATGGCTTCTCATCCAGTGAAGTCCGCTGGCAGCCCAGCCACCCGCCTCCCAGGAGCCACTGGGAGAGGCCAAGCAGGCGCAGGCCCCGGGAGAGTGTCCCTAGACGCGGGAGACGCAGGGCCAGCAGCTGCTCCCCGCCACCGCCCTCTGGACTCAGCTCTGGGAGCTCAGAGGAGGAGAAGGAGAGGCCGCCCCGCAGCTGGGGAAGCCGCCGCCACCGCTCGCAGTCCCCGAATTGGCCAGAGGAGAAGCCACCCAGCTACCGCTCGCTGGATGTCACTGCAGGCAAGAATGGCAGGAAAAAAGGGAGTGTGGAGAGGCGCTCGGTGAGCCTGGGGCATCCTGCTGAGGGTTGGGCGTGGGCAGAGGACCCCTCCAGCTAGGACTGGCTGAGACTGGCACGGGCGCCTCCTGCTGGTGAGCCGCCTGTCAGTGCGGGGTGCAGGGGGAGGCTCCCAGCTTGCAAGGGCTTCTGGGCCCCATCACTCCTGCTCACCTGGTCCTGTGAGGCAGGTACAGTAGGGTCCTCCTGTTTCTCAGGTGAGGAGATGAGGCTGAAATGATTTGCAGCCTGCGGGTGGGGATGCAGGCCTAGGCCTTCGCCCTAAGCCTTTACCTTCCTTTTTTTTTTTTTTTCTTCTTCAAGGTTTTGCCTCCTGTCACAGCTGCCTGGCTTTGCTTAGAACCCTTATTTTCCTACCCCAAATTAGAACATGCAGGGGGCTTGAGGATGTTTGTCGATTCAGCATGCAAAGCCCATGTATATGTGAGGATGAGGCCTCTCATACACCCCTGGGAAGGTGTCGTTAAACTGATACACAAATCCTGGTGTCCCCAATATGGCTCAAAACTTTAGGGTATGTGAACAGACAAGGTGTCAGAGGGTCTTCACCCCAAAAAGGGAACATAGGAAGACACAGGCTTTTGGGGTCTCCAAATATAGATCTTCTTTTTTAAAAGATCATTATATGATTAATACACGCAAATGACAGTCTCCCTTTAATGCTGCTAATTGTTGCCATCACTCAAAACAAACAATTAATGAACTTCTGAGAAACAACTTTCAGGCTGCCATGAAAATCTTTTTTTTCTATTCAACAAGATCATTTTCTCTTTTGCTTCTGTTGAGCTAGTCAAAGGGAACTGTAGACAGCTCTAAGGAAGTTCCCAAAGAGTAGAGGGATATTATCAGAAAAGTGTTGTCTCTTGTGGGCTTTGAAGGATACATCTTTCATTTGGAAATGTTTTTGTTTTTGTTTTTTTAAATCCATCATGCATAGTGTGTGCCAAGGAGCAGGCCCACTTTCTAGAGCAAATCTTGGTTAGAGAGCAATTTTTGAGGCAAGAATAAAGACCAATAGGCATTTCTGAAATAATAGAAGTTGTGACATATTCTCCCCAAGTAGCCCATGAGAGACCAAGATCAGCAAGTGTGGAAATAGCTGGGGTATGCAACTGGACATCTTATGCAACACCTCCTTGCATCCACACAGCAATCTGAGTTCAAGCAAGACTACGATTTTCTGACAATTACTCTGCTCTGGGAACTTCTCTCATAATCCTTTGACTAGCATAACAGAAGCAAAAGAGAGTAGTGTTTTCACAGTGATCCTCACTTGCAGGTGGCACAGCTATTCTTCCATGTTAGCATTAAGAAAATTAAATCCCGAAAGAAAGTGCAGAATTAGTCAAAGCTGGGACAACTATAGTTACTTTCTTCATATAGTAACTAAATATGTCTTTTCATTTTAACAGAAAAAAATGTAATTTTTTAAAAGTTTTGGCCCAAGATCGGAACTCTACTTTCTCCTAAGTTAAATCTTTAAGTTAAATTATATGACTTGTAAGTGAGAGAAGTGTTCCAAACACTGGAGTAAATCCTTTCCAAGTCCTATTTCATTTAATCCTCACAACAACCATGTGAGGCTCAGAGAAGTCGAGTAACATGCCCAAAGCCAAAGAGCCAATAAGAGTGAAGCCAAAGTTTAACTCCCCTCTGACTCTCAAGCCTGTGCCTTTTTCAGTAACTCATACTGCCTCCTTAGAAAAAGGATCACTTAGAACAGTATGTTATAGGACAGATCCCTCCCCCAAGAGGACTTCTCCTTTGCACACCATGTATGATGGATCGTTTTTTTTTTTTTTTAGTCACAATAGAACACACACTTCCAAATGAAAGGCATACCCTTCAGAGCGCACAAGAGACTAACTTTCTTAAAATATCCCTCTACTCTGGGAACTTCCCTAAAAGCCGTTCACAGTTCCCTTTGACTATCTCAATAAAAGTCAATGAGAAAAAAATGTTTTGGTCAAATAGAAAAAAGATTGGGAAAGGTTGGGAAGAATGACATTTTCTAGTGACGTTATTTCTTCCTAATTTTCTGGAAGTATCACAGCTTCCTTTATCCTCAAGACGTATACAGCAATAATTTTACCATGAGTCAACCAAATTTTCAACCATAAAGTCATTTTTGAGAGGCAAAGTGTTTTTTTCAAGGTCATTTAAAAAAGTTCCATTGTTTGGGGTGTCTTTGAATTTGTTTCCCAAAGAGTTACCACTTGACCACATTCAACATATTCTGACAGTCCCCAGAGGCGGAGAGACAAAGCTGGATTGGTGGATTGATTATTTTGAAGGGCCAGTGTTTGTTTTATTTATAGCTTGGATTTAGAATGCCTTTAGTGGGGCCAGAAGTCTTCAGGTCAAAGTCTTTCTCTCCTCCTCTTTCCTTGGTGGGTCTGGGTGCTCCCCACAAAGGTTATCTTCCTAGCTTAGCAGCTTGCAGCTAAATTCAGACATTATAGTACTGTTAGGCCACTAGATGGTGATCTTTGATCATGTGTCACCTGAAATTTGCTTAATTTATAGAATTAATCGTATGTATCACTATTTTCTTAAGTCAGACTTTAGCTCTTACAGCATTACCATAACTGCAACAAAACATTGATTAAAAATTCTTTAAGTCTTCATAGAAATAGCAATTAAACTAAATATTTTTGGCTTACATGGAACTTTCTCTTTCAAGAGTAATGTTTAAGAAACAGAAACCTGGCTATTGGACATGTAATCTCATTGTACCTGAAATACATGAGAACTGTTCTCTGCACAGTACCCAGGAGAAGATGGATCTCCTACCCCACTACAGTTCAGAGATCACGTCCACCAAAACTACACTCTCTGAAGTAGAAAAGCAGAAACTTTAAGCTTTTTACTCTAGAGATTACAGACTGAATGGTCCCTGTGTTCTGGCCTCCTTAAAATTGATGATATTTCTCTTCACTCTTACCCTAATAGAAAGGGTTTCCAAAGGAATTTTGGGGTTGTTCCAAACTTGACTCACACTCATCTGTTCTAATACCAAGAGAAAACTACCATGTTTTTCTCTCTGGGTTAACCTCATATTTTCTGTAAACAATCCCAGCTTTTTTTCTTTTTGTCTTTGACTTTTTGATTTAATAAAATATTACATTAGAATTTTTATAGCTTAAATCTACTTTAAATAAAATATCTACTCCTTCAACTTTCTAGGTCTTCCTTTAACAGGTTCCTTTTGCCCCATTTCATTGTTTTCCTCTCTCAGAGAATATTCATCCCAGAAGATTTTGATTTAAAAGCATGTCCCCTAAAACTCACTTTCCTAATAAATTGGAAACAGGCTTTTTACAGCAACACGAATGTCATACATATATGATACCTTTGCAATAGTATATTATAGGACAGATCCCTTATCTTCCTATTTCAAATAAGATGAAGACTTACATGCTCATGGATTATAACTATAGATGTTTGAAAGTGATCTCTACAATACATAATTAGAGAAATATATTAGAGAAATTTGAGAAACATAAACCATAGTTCCTCCTCTCATTCAACATGTAGAAAAAGCTCCAAGACCAAGTGGAATAACTTTTGAAGAAAAGACACTGAGAGCTGGGGTTGTGGCTCAGTGGCAGAGCCCTGGCCTAGCATGTGTGAGGCACTGGGTTCGATTTTCAGCACCACATATAAAGAAATAAAATAAAGGTCCATTGGCAACTAAAAATATATTTTTTAAAAAAAGAAAAGAAAAGCCACAGAGTTTGGTCAGGAAGAGGTAGTGATTTTTGAAAAATAACTCCAGAAAAATACTAAGGTATGAAGCTAAACATTTTAGAAAAGGGTGGAAGAAATGATTGAGGAGATACACATAGGAAGAGGAGACTACCTCCACAATGAGTGGGAGAGAGATATTGATGAATGGAACAGGGTATCTTTTTCTTTCTTTTTTTTTTTTTTTAAGTCTACAAGAGACTTGAAAATGTTTGAAAAACAGTAAGCAGGAGGCAGAGTGAATAAGACTCAGAACTTTTCAGAAATAAACATTGTGTGAGGGAGACTATAAAGAAGGAGGAAAACAGAGAAGGTTAAGCCTGGGGAAGGAGACTGACTCCATGAAGAGTCAACAGTTTTCTTCAGGTTCAGATCTGCAGTACCAGCAGCCCACACTCACTCGGTTGTGCACCAGCGCACCGTGTATGTTGTTTGCACAGACAGTGGATCACAGCTGACTGGATTGCTTTGTGTTCTTCTCTTCCTCAGGAGAAAGACAGCTCCCATAGTGGAAGGAGTGTGATCATTTAATCCCCAGGCACGGCACCACTTCTGTGGCTCCATCTCTGCTCCTGTGTGTCATCAGTATCACCCAGGTTCCCAGCTGACTTGGGGGCAGGGGACACTGCAAGTCTGCCACCAACAGCTTTGGCTTAGATTCTGAGAATCAAATAGAGGAATTTTAAAAACAAGAGTTTGAGGAATCGATGACTAGTTTTAGCCTTGGTCTATGCTCTCTGCATAATTTGTACCGTCTTTGATCCGTAGCGGACCCTAGCTGGTTCCCTCGGGAACATAGTAGCCTGAGTCTTCAAGTAGGTTACAGTGCTAAGGACCGGGGCCATTCTCAAACTGAGATCTCAGGAATCTTTAAGAAGAGATTAAAAGTGCTTTAGGAACAGGAAATCCAGAGTAATGGGGGAGAAATTCCCATGGGAACTTGTCTCCCTCTATTGTAGATCTTGGATATCTTGGATATTGTAGACCTTCCATGTTTGGAGTCTGGCTTCCTGCTCCCATCTCCACTCCTGAGGACTCCTGAATTTCCACTCCAAAATAGTCCAGAGATTCTATAGCTGTGAGTCCTTTCTCAGGCAGTTTATTGACATGTAGAAAAATCACAAGGAGCAGTTTTGCACAAACCTTATTCCTGTCTTCTTTTCTTGCTCATTCCCCCTCTACATCTAATTTATATTTTCTTATATATTATGTATCCATTAAAATCACTTTAAGTGTTTCTTTGTAACCACACAGTCTAAATAAATAAGTAAAGTGTACTGGGCTGAGGATTCTGCCTCTTATAAATATCTGCTTTTATACTTTGGTATCCTTAATTACAGTAGCTCATTCTTCTCCCTGAATCTAATGGAGTCATGGATAACCTCAGGCAAGGGGACCCGTTGGGAGTCCTGCCAAACAACCATGGGATGCCCTCTCCTTCCCTCCTGGACCAGAGACTCCTTTTCTCCTGAGGTGAGATTCTAAAGTGAGTCTGAGGAGCCAATAAGAGAGGCCCAGGTAAAGAAGATGACTCAATCAGGGAAGCTGAACTGTTTCCTGAGGCCCAAGGCTCTTCTTCCTTGCCCAGAGACAGTAGGGCCGACTGGTAGAACCAGGAAAAGAAACCTGTCACAGCTAGCAACCTGGTCCTAGAAGCTGTTTTGTGGAACCAAGACTCTCCTCCCTGGCCCAGAGAAAGCCAGGTAGCAAGATTCTCCCACATTCCTACCTCTCCTACAGATATCTGAGACCCTGTCAGGGGGTATTCCTCCTTTCACAGAGCACCAGCAGAGACTAGTGGGGCCCACGCAGCACCAAATGAACCAACCAAGCCAAAATAACATTACAAGGGCTTTGGAAATTGAACTTCCATTGGACAGTAGGCAAAGACCTGGAAGCAAACAAAAACAGAATGATTCCCTATAAAACAAAATAATAAATAGGACCCAGAGTCACCTAACATAACAGACAAAATGTTTAGAATATACATCAAGAATCAAGAAATCAACTTCATTGAAAATGGAAATCAACAGATGCTGCCACTTGATCAATCAGATGTTAGAATTATCTGATGAGAATTTTAAAAGAAACATAATTACTGTGCAGATCAACTACAAATTCTCTTGAAACAAATGAAAAAAAAAATTAAAAATCTCAAAAAAATTAATAAAAAGTGGAAATTATAGAACTGAAGAATACAACAACAAATTCAAAACTTGCAAGGTGGGCTCATCAGCAGAGATGACAGAGGATAGAATCCATGAGCTTGAGGGCTGAGCAAGAGAGGCAAAATAGACTGGGTTCTGTGGACAATAACAAATACACAACATTCATGTCACTAGAGTCCCAGAAAGTAAAGAGAAAGAGGGTGGGGGTGATTGAATATTTGAAGAAATAATAGCTGAAAACTTCCCAAATTTGACGGAAGTCTCCAACATAGGGATCCAAAAAGCCAAGTCAATCCCAAACAAGACACACCCAAAGAAATCCATGCCAACACATGTCATAATTAAACTTTGAAAAATAAAGTCAAAACTTCATTTAAGCAGCCAAAAAGAAATAATGTACTACATGCAGAGGAATACTAGAGGATTTTTCAACTGAACAACAAAAAAAGGAAATGTTCAAATATTTCTTAAGTGCTGGATGAAAAAACGTCCGTCAACCTACAATTCTATTGCTGATGAAACTACCTTTCATGGGTGAAGGAAAGATAAAAACATTCACAGATGAGTGAAAAACAAAAGATTTTGTGACTAGGAGACCTATCCTTAAAATGCTGTTGAATAGGAGTTCTTCCAACAGGAAACGGTAAAAGAAGAAAACTTGGAAGAAGAAACAACAAAAAGAGCAGAAATATGGGTTCATACAATCTCTTTTAGGAGTTTGATGATTGAAACAAACTTCAATGTTGTCTGATATTCAAAACAATGATATTTAAGGATGAGAAAGTCAAAGGGTCTTAAATGGAATTGAGCTTCCATATTTCATTTAAAATAGCAAATATTGATACTTATACAATTTTAAAAATAACGTGTAACACCCAGGGCAACCAGTGTGACTTTTTGTGTGAAGAAGCAAACCCAAAACTACTATAAATAAATCAAAATGGAATCTTAAAGAATATTTTCAAATAAACTGCAAAAAGATAAGAAAGAGAAAAAGATTAATTAGAACCAGTGAAAACAGAAAATAAATAATAGAATAGCAGATTAAAATGCTAGCATAACAATGATTACCTTGGATGCAAATGTTCTAAATATACCAATCAAAAGATGAAGATAGGGAGAGTGAACTAAAAATAACCTACATGTATTAATCTCCTACTACATATGAGAAACTCCAAACACAGATAAACTGAAAATAAAAAGTAAAAAAAGATATACCATGTACACATTAATCAGAAAAAGAAAGAGAACGGTAGTAGCAATAACAAAGATTTCAAAGCAAAGAAAATTACCAGAGACAACATGGGATATTATATAACAATAAAACGATCAATCCACCCAGGAAGCACAACATACTAAAAGCTAAGCCACAGATAAAGCTAAAACTGATAAAACTGAAGTGAAAATTAGAATAACCTACAAATACCATTAAAAACTTCAACACCACCCCAGATCCCATCCCCAGTAACTGATAGAGTTATGAGGCAGAAAATCACAAAAACATGGGAAATCTAAACAGTGCAGTCAATCAAGAGGATCTAATTAACATATCAAATATACGACCCACATCAACAGAATACATTTTTCTCATTTGCCCATTGAACACTGACCAAATATACATAAACAAACAAAGTATACTCTAAAACAAAACTTGATGGCCAGGCATGGTGGCATATGCCTGTAATCCCAGTGACTAGTGAGGCTGAGGCAGGAGAATCAGAAGTTCCTGGCCAGCCTGGGGTTACAGCTCAGTGATAGAGGACTTGGATTACAGGTGTGTGCCACCTTCTCCAGCTTAGTAAACTTCTAAAGGGGAATTAACACCTACTTTACACACTGTCCTCCAAGAAATGGAAGAGGAGGTAAAATTTCTCCTCATTCAGTACAAAACCAAAGAAGGACATTACATGAAAAGAAAACCACAAACATCTATCCTAAATTTAGAAACAAATTCTTAAATAGAATATTAAGCAAACCTTTTGGCACATAAGAATAATTATATGCCAAGAACAATTGGGATTTATTCCAGGTTAGTGAGGTTTAAGGATTTGCATCTAAATCTTGGAGAGATGTTTGTTTATAGTTATCTGCTTTTGAGAAATAGGAATCTAATTTCATTCTTCTTTTCACCAATGTATGTTCCTGGCTCCCTTGTCAAGAATCAGATGACCGTTGCTGTGTGGGTTTGTCTCTGTGTCCTTTGGCTATTCCATTGGTCTACATATCTGTTTTAATGCCAGTACTATTATTTTGTTTTGTTTTTTACTATGGATCTGTAATATAATTTGTGCCTCCAGCTTTGCTCTTTTTGCTCAGGATCACTTTGGCTATTCTAAGTCTTATTCTTCGATACCAATTTTAGGATTTTTCTTTTTCTAGTTCTGTGAAGTATGTCATTGCTATTTTGATGTCTCTTGCATTGAATTTGTAGACTGCTTTCAGTAATATGCTCATTCTAATTATATTAATTCTGCCTATTCATGAACATGGTATGTCTTTTCATCTGCTAGCAACTTTTTCAATTTCTTTTTTAAATGTCTTATAATTTCCTTGTAAAAGTCTTTCTCTTCCTTAGTTAGATTTTTTCCCTAAGTGTTTTTTTTAAACTATTGTGATTGTTTTCCTAATTTCTTTCTGAGCAGAAAAATCAAATTTTTTTAAGATAGAAAGATTTGAATAAAAATTTCACCAAAGAATATATGAAAGTTCCTAATTAGTACATAAAAAATGATTCATGTCATTAGTCATTAGGAAAATGCAAATTAAAACCAGAATTAAATGCCATTGCACTGCCACTAGAATTGTGTGCTAGTTTTCTAAGTGTTAGTTTGCCTCTAGACTGGTGTTTTCCATGACAAAATGCCATAGATGGGTGTCTTAAACAAAAGTAATTTATTTCTCACAGTTCTGAAGACTGTAAATCCAAGATCAAAATTACAGCAGGTTTAGGTTTTTCTGAGGTTTTTCTCCTTGGCACATAGATGGCTGCCTTCTCTGTATGTCCTAATCTCTTTATATAAGGACATCAATTGGATTGGATTAGGACACTCCATAAACAGACTGATTTTAAGTTAATTGCCTCTTTAAAGCTTTATCTCCAAAAACAGTCACATTGTGTTGTACTGGTGGTAGGACTCCAACATATGAATGGGGGTAGGGCACAACTCAGTCATCCCGTGGATACTCATACATAGGATTCTGTCTACAATAGAAAGGAACACTTTACCAACACATACTATTAAATGGATGAGTTTCAAAAACATTATGCTAAAAGAAAAAAAAACCAGATGCAAAGACCTCATATTGCATGATTCAATTTATATGAAATATCCAGAAAAGACAAACCTATAGAGACAGAAAGTATATTAGTGGTTGCCTGGAACTGGGTTGAGCAAGAGATGTTGGCTGGATAAAAATGCTCTTACTGGGATGATGTGAATGTTCTAAAGTTGGGTTGTGGTGGTAAGACAGAGTTCACACACAGGGAGCTGGGGATTCTCCACCTGGACCTACCACGTTGCAGCCAGGATCTCTGAACCTCACAA